TTTCAGGAAGAAAGAATAGAGAAAGAAAAAAAAATTATGGATGAAACGAGAAAGGAATTCAAGCCGAAACAACTACGGAATCTCTAACTAGATCTGAATTTGCAACTACTGCTAAACTTAGAACATTTAGAAAACATATGCTCATTTTTTTTCTTTGAAATTATTGAATTTCTACTTTTAATGTAATATTCTAAGATACACAATGGTTACGATTGAGATTTTGTACTTCCTTTACATTGCAATACAAGAATTCTGAAATAACACTCCTATAGCTCTAATGGTATGTTATATGCCTACATTTCCATCAACCATGATTGAGATATTCCTAAAAATCCACAGTCTCCAGTATTTACATTTTTTTAAGTTTATTTTTTCTCCAATTTACTCTCAAAAACATGTCACTCATGATTTTCAGAGGTACCAAAACTGGTCTAGTCTAAGAGAATTGCAGCCCTTCACCATAAAGGTTGTCTTAGAAAGCACAGATCCTACGTGAGGTACTTTGCCTGGATGAGAAACCTTGACACTTAGTCCTGCAAACCATTCACTTACTTATTCTTTTTAAATATGCTTACAGTATTTTACATTAGAAAAAGCATATTTAYTCATTTCATCTTTCAACCAGATTAGCAGCATTGAAGAAAAAGAAATTGAAATGAATTTTGCTACGCATATTATTGAAGTTATTTTATAGTTCCAAATGGGTTAAGGGTGAACTATGTACACCTGAAAAATATATATTTAAAAATCTGCAAAGTCCATTAAACACCTAGCATAATAAACACTCTTGTATTTARACAATGTGGTAGCTGTAGTCTTCAATGAACTGTTAAGAATAATTCGTAAGATACACAAAGAAGACCCCAGTTACAGGTTTTAGTCCACTGAAAATTCAAAACCAGATGATCCACAAGCAGAACTGCGCACAGTGGTTAAAGTTTCATGAGACATGAAAAATGAGGCATGTGCACATGCATATGTAGATCTCTCTTTCCACTTATATCATTCCACCTGTAGAAGAATTAAAAACTACTTAAGACAGTATGTACCCAGGGCATTATTTTACATCAGTGATTATGGGCCACTCCCATGTCTGCCTCAAACTATTATCCAAGGAATAATGAGGAATTTTCCAAAAATGTATTCTCTGGAGAGTTAAATTACCTTTGTAGAGACAATAAAATCTAATCAAAGCGTTTTTCTGAACACATTCTCTAGGTCTCGCTTTCTCGTTAATATTAATATATACAAAATCAGAAGCCAAGTCATTTCAAAATTTATACACTGTATGTATAAATTTAGAAGTCTAAATGTGAAATGAGCTCACAGAGAAACAGTAAACTTTGCATGTGATTTTTAATACATTTAAATGTTGGGCTTTTTCCAGTAGAATAATCTCAAGAGACCTAATTAACCAAATGTCAATTTTTCAGATTAGCAGAGAATCTAGATTTGTAGATAACAAAAATACAGGCTAAGATAGAACTGCAGTAATGACACATACAGCTTTTCAAACTATAATTTTTAATTGTACAAGGCATTTATTTTCTACTTATTATTGGTTAGAATCAGGAATAAGACTCATTTTTCATGAAGACCTCAGCATCTTGTCAATCATCTAATAACATTTGCGATTATATTAGGAACAACTGGGAAACAATTAGAACTGAATAACCTCCTCCTAGAAACACTGGGTGATTTATAATTGATTGATGACTGGAAGCAATGGAAGGCAGGATTTTGTCTTCATGAATACCTGGAAATTAATGACAATGATTTCTTCATCAAAYGACTGGTAGAATAAGATGAAGAAGAAAAAGTTGAACTATTGTAATACTAAACAACATGAATCAAAGCTGTCTGGTACATGAAAGTGATTTTATCAACTCAATAGCTTATCAGGCAAGTCTCCCACAGAAATCACTTTGATTATTAATGCAATTCATTAATCAAAGCATTAGAAAACGGGTTTAAAAACACCATGGCTTGAAACCATATTTAACTTCATAAAAATATTTCCCTTTACCCTACCTGACCCTCTCTATGTATCTTCAATGTGTTAATGACATACTTTATTAAGGATTATTCCTCAAAATATATAATTATTGAAATATCAGTAGGTTCCTAAAGTAAGGACCATGAACAAAAGATTGCTTTTAATTCTAGAAAAAAATATATTGAGGATGTATATATTTTTGGTATACTATGCCATAATTATTTCATTTGTTCACAAATAAATATTATTTTCCAAAAACAGGTATTAACAGGTATTTTAAGAAAAGATTAAAAACAAATAAAATTTTCAGAAGTTTGCTAACATACTTGTAAACATGCATACATCATGTAGATATAAATATATCACACGTACACATGCACAAGTACACACTGACAAATAAACATATTTTGATTTTTAAAATTAGCATCACTGATTTCTGCTGCCTAACCATTTCAAATATGAGAAGACATTTATTTTTCACATGTAACTTTACAAAGAAAAACACTTTTCTAATCCACGAGTAATATAATGGATTCTACTGTTAAAAATAACTAATATTTTACATACATTCCACCCTTCCATTGAAATATATGAACAAGWTAAGTATTAAAGTTCACTGTATCTCTGTAAGGTCATTTTTCGCAAGGTTCTCATGACACATTGTACATCAGCCATTTAAGGTTTATTTGTAAATACACTTTCCTGACAACAGATGTTTTATAATTACTCCTGTTTTGCTTGATAAAGACTTACTTTACTTACTTTACTTTAAAGGTTTTAACAACAAATTTCAATGATGAGTCACTCTACACATTTTAGATAAATTAGAAAGAGACTGGTATAAATGTTCATTTTGATGCTCATATGAGGAACATTTAAAGCAATCAGCTTAATAAAATGTGCTTTTCACAATGATTAATCATTCTAAATTGTACAGTATAAGATGCTTAGTCGATGACTTCTGCTTGATGTTTTTTTCACAGTTTTCTCCTAAATTGCAAGCTACTTTGAATCCACAGGTATTCAATATATTGCATTATGTATCATGAACGCACACAATAAAAAGCATGATTGCATTTTTTTGGTAGGAATTTTTATGGATGAACAGGAATTGTAATCCTGAGATTTTAACATAAATGAGTGGATAAACACTGGCCAACCTCCTTTTGAAGGATGCATAGAGAAAATAAACTAAGGGTGTTGACACTGCAGACTCCACATGAATAGCCCTTGCTCTGAGGAGTGCCTTTCGAATCATCTGTATCAGTGCTATGAGTTACGGTTAAGATATACTCTAATCCAGTTGTCTTATTTGAAAATGTCACATGGTGCCTTATGAAAAATGAATGAATGAAAAAGGATGAGTTCAGAAGCTTCTTCCTACCTAAGGAAATGTTTGGCATGTCGGTGCTGTGAGGCAGTCATCACCTCCTCAAACCACATACAGAGTCGAATGCAGAGTTTTTCCCGAACAAGACTGCACAGGTGGTCTACAGCAATTGCTCAGTTAGCCAACTTCCTGGGCTTGCTTTCATCAACAAGTACCACACAGACAAATCCACTATTATCAACTAAACACCCCAATGCTCTACTTAAGCACACACACAACATACCTAAAAATATGTGAGAATCTCTATTCWGCCACTAATATGTTGAGTCTCATCTTCCTTTATGCCTGTGTACCATCTAAAAATGGCAAGATTTAGCTCATATTGGAAGTTTCAAGAAATACTTCTTACAGTAATAAATGTAAAAAATAAGATGGCATGGATTTGGGCAATTTATGATATTTCAAATAYAAAGCAGGAAAAAAATGGAGGAGAGATCCACCAAGACAGATCACTAATTATGCTTCTCAAAATTATTTTCTGATCTAAGTTGARGAGGAGATATACATTCCATACTACAACACGCGGTGGCATTCTTTAATGTAACAATGTATTGCTTCTCGTTGAGCACTGATTGATAATATCTACGGTATGAGCTAAGCTTGTCGGTCTTTATGGTGTATCCTCTTCTTTTATAACTACTTGTTTCCTGAGGATAAGTACAAAGTAAAGTTCTCACCCGTTCTGAACCTTCTAAAGTTGAATTAATGAATTCAACTTGAGTTGAATGTCGCAAAAAGACTACAGAAGTCATTGTTACACCATTTAACTCTCTTTATTTCTAGGACAATGATACAAAGTACTGATAAAATGCAATTACATTACTCCTTTAATTTTCGACACCTCAACTGATTACCACAATGAAAAAAAGGACTGCAAAATTTCCACCTATTTCATATCAGAAGCCCTAACCAAATGTCAGCTGGAAAGCAGACACACATTGATATGTATGCAATGCTCACCAATATGTAACATCCCTCCCAAACATGYCGTCTATGATACAGACTTTCCTAACTCTCAAGTGACTACTTGCTGCTGCACAAGTGCTAGGAGGGGAAACCTTACAGTACRGCTAGACTATATGTAAAAAGACAAGCTTAACAAAAAGGGTCAGTAGAGATAGTTGCCTCAGGTTGCTTTGCCAGTCACTCGAAAGCTCTAAGTACTTTGCACGGACGAACAGTCCTCTAAGGAAGAGGTRAAAGGCGCCGACAGGGGCTTAGCATGATCACCACAACTTACTGCATGTAGCAGCAGCAGTTTTCCACACCACAGAAACCACTATTGCCACCAAAGAAAGAAAGAAAGAAAGAAACTCCAAAAACCCAGCTCCCTCGCTCCAAAAGCAGCCCCTCTAACCAGCATGGACCTGTTGTTTGCAAGCACAGCCTTATTCCCTCCTGCCGCCAGAGACCCCCTTGGTGGTGGCGGCAGCACAGAACAGGGAGCCCCGACAGCAGAGCAGGACAAGGAGGGGAACCAACCTCCCGCATCTCATT